GACCTTCAACTCCACGTACCCCCATGGCCTAGTTGTCGTGCTGTTGAAGCCTTGAAGATCGGAGCCTAGGTATGGCGACAAATTGGACTCGTCGAGCTGGAGCGTTGTGAAGAGGTGGGTGTACATGATGTCTACCGAACTTCCTCCGTCCACCAAGATGTGCCTAACATCGAAGTTGGCCATCTGTGCCTGTATCAAGAGGGGGATGTTCGAGTTGGGGGCACCTCCAAGAAGTTCCTCGAGATAGAAGGTGATCGGGTTGGACCGTCCACGGAATTTGTCGAGGGTGCTCATTTTTCCAGAGCTGCTGGTGATGAGTTCCTCGAACTTCCGCTTCACCGATCCCACAGACAGGTTTATCGGGGAACCTCCGGAGATGACCATGGCCCTAGGGAAGTATTCCCACCGGCTGGTGGGGCGTACAGGCTCGTCGGGGAGGCCGAACTCTCTGAGAGCGAACCAATCTTCGGGTCGGCTGATGCTGAGGGCCACTTGCAGGCCGTTCGTTTCGTCGGGAGAAGGGAGGTCTTCGACTCTCTTGGTCTCGGGGGCATCCTGACGCGCGCCTTCTCGGGCGTACCTTTTCAGATGCCCATCTTTGATGAGGATTTCTATCGCGTCTTTTAGATGGACACAGTCCTCGGTAACGTGCCTGTGGCACCTGTGGAATCGACAATATTTTGATTTGTCCACATTGGGCTTTGGGGCCGTTGCCCGGGGAAAGCAGACGCCCCCTGCACGAACTCTGTTTTTACGCATTCGGCCAGTATTCGCTCGCGGGAAGCTACTAGAGCGGTGTATTCCGTAAAGCGGCCGACCGGTCCGCGTTGTTCGCGGGGTTCCCGTTGACGGTCATCCCGTCGTCGATCGCCCTCACGTCGGTGGCTCGAGGCGGCGGCGTCCCAGGACCCGCGGGGGGTCTCTCTGTCGTGCGTGTCGCAGGCAGAGTTGGCTGATTGGGTTTCTTCGAACCGGATGTAGTGCGCCGCCCTGCCGAGGAAATCTTGCAGCGAGGCTGGTCGGTGGATTGCTATGGCCTTGTAGAACTTAGAATCTCAGCAGAGACCCTGCTCCATCAGGTACCGTTTCATTTCATCCGACGTCCTCACCTACACTGCCTCCCTGGTGAACCTTTCGATGTACTTCCAGAGAGGTTCGTCGGGGGCATGAATTATGGCCCCTAGGGCGGCCTCGGTCTTTGGCTGTCTTCGGAACGTCGTGAAGTGTCTGGAGAAGAGGTCTTTCAGGCCTCTCCACGACCTGAGGACTCCGGCTCCAGAGTCTTGTACCACGTCATGGCTCCTTTCCTCAGTGTCGTCGGGAAGAGCCTGCACTTGATAGCTCCCCGGACGTTGCGGTAGTCGATCATGGCTTCTATATTTTCCAGGTGGTCGTCCGGGTCCGATGTTCTATCGTATGTCGTGAGCACGGGGGGCTTTTCCATCCCGTGTGGGATGGGGGCCGCCATGATGTCCCGAGACAGGGGGTCCTGTAGTCATCTTCGTCGCTAAGAAGCGGCGAGCGAGGGGGTGATGGCGGGGGAGGAGCATGGCCTCGCGGCCTTTGATGTCCGGCAGGGGGTTCGACCCGTGGGCGCGTAGCCGGCGTATCACCCCGGCCGTTTGCTGTCCTCGGGACCTTCTCCTAGGTGACCTGGTCCGCTCTCGTATTACTGCGGGTTGGGGTCTCTCTAGGTGAGGTCGCCTGTTCCTTGGTTGGGGAGACGGACTCCTTGAGTTTCCATTTTGGTTCCCGCGGAGGGGACCGTGATGGGACGTCTTGCTCCAGGGCGCCAATACGTGCGTTCTGCTGGTGTAGCAGTTGATTTGTTTGATTGATGGCTGCGAATAGGGCGGCGACGGTCGGGTCTTCCCTGGTCAGGACATGAATGGGCTGGAACGTCACCGGGCTTCTGGGTCGAAGAACGGTTTGGTGGGCAGCTTCATCTGACGAGGGTGAGGCGGTGTGGCCGTCTCTCTCGTCGGTCTCCGGACGTTGGGACGTCTCCGTTTGTTTTCCGCCATTTGCGGCGGAAGGGTGAACGAGCTCGTGAACGGTGACATCACGGTGTGGGCTAGACATGACTGAGTTGTTGATGAAACTTTGGTTCTCTGCTCGGAGGAACGGGGAAGTTTAAGTTCCCACAAAAGGCGCCACTGATCTGACCTGATCAGAAGGGGAGTCACGGTCTGTCCACACTCTGATGGGCTGAAATCTGTTCACCGGTGTTGGGGAGAAGGAGAGGGGTGTACCTGTAAGACACTCTGATGCCAAAGTGAGAGTTTGGACATAGTGAGAGCAAATACATAAATAGGATCGAAGGGAATTACCTGATCCTCTTGTGGAAGAGGGTATTTATAGAGAGACCCCAGCGCTGGGCCAACGGTCATTTGAGTTGGGCTGGATGGCCAGGCCCAACCCAGATGACTGTTAGGGCTTACGTGGCGTAGTGAAGACCAGAACGTGGTCTTCGCCCTAGTTCAACTGCTCCGTGAACTCCGGAAAGTGAGTTTGACCTGCTCTTTCGGAGGTGAACACTTGGTTAGTGATGTGTCCCCGCGGAGGGGGCACGTGGAGAACGTGTGGGGGACACGTTTGTTCTGCTCGACAGGGGAGAGGGAGCTGCCCGCGAAGGGGGTGCAGTCCGCGGAGGGCTAGTTCTACCCGCGGGGGGCAGTGCGTGCGCAACGTTGGAAAGGCAAATATTCCTACTGTCTGGGAGGAAGTGATGTCCGAGGAGGGCGTGTCTGGTCGGTCGGCACTTGCGCTGCTTAGCAGCAGGGAGAAATTCTCATGGGCATGTGCTCGGCATAGTTGGGTTGGACCTCTTCGTCATCCCGGGGCCCAAGGCAGAACATTATTATTCATATAAATATTTTAAAATATAACATTGAAAATAATCAATATAAAAGAGATTATTTTGTACATCATTTTATTCATCTTTATCATTAATTATACTTATTATTTTTACTAATCAAAGTAATATTCTTCATATTATTGTTAAATCATAAATAACAAATATAGATATTAAATTACTAATTAATCTATATACAATCAAATGATATTTCAGACATTAATTAAAATATTAAAATAAAATTTATTTGAATCATAAAAAGTTAATTTAGTCTCTGTAAAAAAATATATTTATATGTGATGCTAATAAAAAAAACCGAATCTTGATAAAATATTTATAATAAAGTATATTTAAAATTGTTTACAATTAAATTCAATAATGAAAATAATAAATATTTATATTTTGTTTTATCACTAAAAATTAAAAAATACATATAAATAATAATTATGCTATTTTATTTTATTTGAAAAATTAATAAATATAAATTATATAATAAAATATCCCAAATATTTATAACACTAATAAAATGTTACAACAAAAATTTAGTCTCTATAAAAAATAAAGTTTACTTGTCAAGGGTCAACTATTTTTAAGATAAAACTTTATAAATCATTACAATTTTTTTTAAGACATTAATGTCATAAAATTAATGGCACTATTAAAAAAAAATAAATGTTGGCATAATATTTACAATAAAGTATACTTAAATTTGTTCTTGATTAAATGCAATAATGGTTATAATAAATATTTAAATTTTATGTTGTTAATGTTATTACTTTTAAAAAACTAATTAATTTTTAATTTTAGTACTGAAACATAAAATCAAATCAAATTTACGACTATTTATTTCACAATAACGATAAAAAATTATCCATTTTATTTGCGAACTAAATCAAAACACTTATATCATTTAAAAAAATATAGACTATTTTTTAGATCATAATAAAAAAAAATCGATGAATGGATGGACTTCAGTCACATATTATGGTGATATAATAATAAAATTTTATGTTCATTATAAATAACTTAAATCAAAGATGGATAGGGTGGAAAAAGAAGCTCTCTTAAATAATTTTTGAGAAATTTTACCCCATACTTCTATACTAAATTTTTTTGGACCAATACTCTCATATAAAAAATTATAATTTTTTTGTTTGTTTACCGGAAGAAGTCTTGCGGTTCACATTTTTTTTGGTTTGTTTATCGGAAGACTTTTTGGAAGTCTTTTCCCATTTTTTTGGTTTATTAAAAGTCTCCCGATTCACATTTTTTTGGTTTGTTTACCGAAAGACTTTTTGAAAGTCTTCCGGTTCATGTTTTTATTTTAATTTTTAATTTTTTTAATATTCAAATTACAAATATATTGATTCAATTTACTCTATTTATTCTATTTACTCTATTTTAGTTAATTAATATATTTATTCTGTAATTTGTTATATTTATTCTACTTATTTATTTAATAATTATTATTTCACTAATTTGATTTTTTATTAATTTATTATATTTATTTATTTAATAATAATTACTCCACTAATTTAGTATTGTTTTTTTTAATCAATAAAAATAAAAGTTGTTAACTAATTTATATATTAAGTGTAACAATTTAATAATACGTTTATATGAAAAATAAAAATAAATATCATATTTAAATTATAATCCTATCATTTATTCTATCAAAAATTTTCACAAAAAAATTATAATATATAACATTTATAATTATTTAAACAATATAAATGTATGGATTTTTAACTTTAGATTTTTTTAACTTATTTCACATTATAGTGTTTAAATTAATAGTTAAATTATCATTTTCATTTATAAAATTTAAAAATTATACCAAATATATGGGACGCGATTCACAGTATTTTTAGTATCCTTTGTTAGTATGTAAATGGTGCATTTAAAAATATATCCAAAAATAGAAATATAATAAAAAATCTATAAATAAAAAATGGAAAGGGTGGAAAAAGAAACTCTCTCAAATAATATTTGATTATCCAAAAAATCTAAAAAAATTGTTACAAATAACTTAGAATTGGGCTTTTTGACCCATTCCTCCAACCTATTACTGTTACAAACCTTAACCCACGCAAAGTACTTTTTTTATAAATAAGGAATAGAGATGTGAGTGGAGTAAAGTAAAATCATGGCTACCTACATATCTAACAAAAATACACGTCAAAAACGGCTGCGTTTGCGTCTAAGAACAAACCCTAATCTGGTGTCTGATTGGCCACCGGAGTTAGAATCAGAGATGGCGACGGCGGAGGAAATCAACTATGATTCACTTCCCAGTCTTCCTATCGATCTGGTCGGTGAAATATTCTGCAGGCTACCTGTGAAACTCCTCCTACAGCTCCGATGCATGTGCAAGTCATGGAATTCTCTAATATCCGATCGCAATTTCACCAGAAAGCACCTTAGCCTCTCAACCACTCGCCGCCTCCATTACGCCTGCTACCAATATGAACCACACGAGTTATTTCACAATTCTTACCCACTCGAATCGGTTTTAACCAATATACCCATTAAATTCAAAGACCGTCGCGTTGTTTTCAACAGTATCGTTGGTTCCTGTGACGGCATCGTTTGTCTTGCCGATAGATCTAAAGGTTTAGTTAAATTCAAAGACCGTCGCGTTGTTGTCAACAGTATCGTTGGTTCCTGTGACGGCATCCTTTGTCTTGCCAATAGATCTAAACGTTTAGTTATATTGTGGAATCCTTGTTTTAAAAAGTTCAAGGAGTCTCCCCCTTTTGAAAACAGTCTTATCAAGGTTTATTCGGCCTTCGGCTTCGGCTACGATCACGTTTCTGAGAATTACAAAGTGGTTGTTCTTTACTACTCCGAACCTAACTTGTTTAACAAAACTAAAGTAAAAGTTCATACTTTAGGCACCAATTGTTGGAAAACAATTGAGAGCTTTCCTTTTGGTACTGTCTGTAATGAGCAAACTGCAATATACTTAAGAGGTACACTTAATTGGATTGTCTATACTAGGCGGGTTCGATTAGGTCCCTGCTTCATTCTGTCTTTTGATTTGGGAAAGGAGTCTTATCAGAAGCTTTTGCCTCCTCCTGGTCATGCACGGATCGGTCTGAGTTTGTGTGTCTTGAGGGACTGCTTGTGCTCAATTTTTGATAACCATATTTGGGTCATGAAGGAATATGGAATTTATGATTCCTGGACTAAATTGTTGTCGGTTTCATACATGCAAGATCGTAGTTGTGTATTGTTCAATGCATTGTATATTTTTGATGATGACCGAGTGCTTCTGGAAACTGAAGAGGATGAGAAAACAAAGGTGGTTGTTTACGATCCAAAGAATGATACTTTTAAGGTTGCTTTGTTTAAAAACTGCCTATACGCCTGTCTTGAAAGTTTGATATCACCTTGTTCTGAGTGTTAGGAGTAGATGCAATGCTATGCCGCCACTTGAGCATATATGTTAATTTATGTTTTTATTTTCTACTTGCTACTTCATGGATTATTGTTAACTAATAGTCGGTGAGTTATTTTGTCACTTTGTCACTGTTGTTTAGTCCCTCAACTTGTATTACATTTATACAATTCACAATAATTATATATTTAAAGATTATCAGTATGATTTATAGATGTATGTCTTTGTATCTTGTGATTTTAGAGGTGCCTTTAGCTTCTTGGTTATAATCAAACATTTTTGCACCATTTGATATGACGCTGGAGCAAGCACCACATAGCTCTATGCATTACACTTTGAGATTGACTTTGTTTTGGAACTAAATGTTCTGGATTTTTGATTCAACATGGCGATAAAAAAACATGCAACTTTTTGAAGATAGAAAAAACACATATTCCCTCTTTTATTTTGGTTTCGATTCTCATTCTTTTCCTTTATTTTTGTTTTAAATTCTTTATTTTGTTATTGTGTTGGGTTATCGCGACGAAAGAACCCAATCATGGTATTGAAGTTCTAAAATCAAGGAAGACGGAAGAACACCAACGAGCTATTGAAGTTCTGAAATAGGACGAGGCGCGGGTATCCAAATTTTCATCAAATTGTATTCTTAGATTCTTCACAAGGTTTTATCATACAAATTCACTTTCAAAAACTCAAGTTACAAAGAGACTTCGTTTGCATCAATTTTAATTCTAAGATCTCAATTTAAGATGGGTGGATGAAGTAACACAAGGTAGTCAAAAAAGAAGAATTATTATAAAAGAGAGATATCACGAATCCCTCACGTAATTGCCCGTGGCTGAAGGAAGGGTAATAAATTCATTACCATCACCATCATGGAAAGCTTCATTAAAATAATGAAATTCCTTCAATAATTGTATACATAGTAGAAATGACAAGGCAATGCTGCTTACATCCTTACTAACATCATATAAACCGTACCGCCTTTTAAATAGAAAACAACTAGAATTATGAGCTTTTACAATGGTAAGTGTGTACATGTTAAGGTTACAAGAATTTGAAATGTAAAGTTAAGTCATTTCTTCGTTGACGGACCGCGTCCCCGATCTACATTTGTGAAATGAAGTGCTCTGTGTGTGAGCTTCCGCCAGTTCAAACGCCAACATATCTGTCTCTACGCGAAAAATGACACAGAGTCGCCACCGGATTTTATTTATCCCAAGAAGGAAAAGGGAAATGGCGATAAAACCTTTAGGGAAAGGGCGTGGTCGTCGCAACCAAGTCTTAGGGTTCGGGAGTCGGTTATGCGAGGGGAAGGTATTAGCACCCCCTCGCATCTATCGTACTCGATGGGAATCTCCTAGATTGTTTAGCGTGAATGGGTGTTTTTATTAAGAATTTACTTGCTTAAGGAAAAGAGGAGTTGGTTTATTTATTTTAATGCTCGCCAAAGATTGTGGCCCTTGTGCCTACGTATCCTCACTTAAAAGAAGTAAAGAATCAGAGCTCCGTAGTTCGGAGGCTTATGAATTTGTTGTTTGTTGGTTGATTTTATACCTTGAAAAAGGGTTTTTGATTGATGCCCTAAGGCGAAAGTAAGTTTGATGAGTTGGTGTTATTTTTAGGTTTTTTTGAAGAGAAATGGTTCTTGATTAGGATTACACAAAAGGACTTTGGATAAAGATGAATGTTTCGAATGGCCAAGTCGAGCGCCTTGTATCCAAAACATTCAGAACGAGTGTAGGAGGATTCCATTCTCATCCCATCTCCACCACTTTAAAGTCTTTGGTGTACAACCCCAACCGTGTATTTATTGTATTTTGAGTTTTTTATAAGAAAAAGATCACTTGATGTTGGATCAAGGTTTATTGTTTGCAAAGATATATTCGAAGCGATACAGACAAGGTCGATAGCGATGCGCAAGACAATCGACTTACAAGGTTAAAAATGGCTCGATAAAATCGAGAGTTTGTTTTTGAAAATGGTTTTTGGAATCAAAAGTCAACAAGGACAATAGCAATATTCACACTAAAATCATACAAACATATGGGGTTAGTCAGAAAATAAATCGAGACATGCAAAAAATGAACACGGAGAACTCCTAAAAAAGGGAACAAACTGATCAGTTCGCGCCGCGAACTGAGAAAAGTGAACATTCTGTTTTTTTCGGTTCGCGCCGCGAAGACATGAAGCAGAAAATGCAATATTTGAAAAAAAATTAACATTCTGTTTTTGGCACTTTCGCGCCGCGACCTGAAGCGAAAAGTGCAGTTTTTTGCTGTTTTTTTGTTGTCTTTTGTGGTTTTCTTTCCTTTTTATTGGTTCTTAAAAATGCTTTCTTCATTTTTTTGGTTTCCTTAGAATCTTACATGATATACTCAGCACAACAACACTTAAAATAAAAGACAAATGCAAGATATAAAGAGGGAAAAGTTTAAAGAAATGGATACCCCAAGAGCTTTTATCCTTCTCACGAATACTCCACTGGTTTTGGTTGGCTGTGCTCCCCATCTTCACTCTATATGGTGAAAGTTTTGATCTTCAAGGGTTCCTTGTCTTTCTATGGAACTCTTTTTTTTTGGTTTTCTCTCTTACTATTTTTCTGGTTTTTTGCAATGTGTGTTGCTCTCACTATTTTTTGTTTTTTTTTCTCTCTTACTCTCTCAATGTTGTGTATGTGAATGATAGTGAATGAATGATTTGTTTGCAGCTCCTTCCTTTTGTTGACAGCCCCTTTCCCCTCTCATCTCACTTTTTCTGCTGCTTTTTTTGCTGTACCAAACCAATGGCTCTTGCACAAGCTTCAATTTTCAGAATTTCCATTCTTGGCAACAATTATGGCCACTTTCTTGGTGCAACCCCACTTTTTCCACTTCTAGTATGCTGCTTTTGCTGTACTTTTTCTGCAGCACTCCACCTTGCTATCCATCCTTGTGTCCATTGGTTGGTTATGCTTGGATCTACTCATGTAGTCAATACCACTACCTTTTGACAGCATTTTCAAATTCTGGTTTTTGGTATGTAGATGCATCATTGTATGTTATTCCCTTGGTTTTGTGACATAAAAATGATTTTGTAACATGATACATATTTTCATCTCTTGCATGGGGCTGTTTTGTATGATATTCAATTTATCCATGGCTAAGCAAACATAGTCTTGATCTTGACATATTCCAATGTTGATTTAATTCTTAGATATTTCTTGGATATAATGTGGACTTGGTGTGGCATTACCATAACATGAATTTGATTAGAGACTTGAATGAAGATTAAAAATAAATTAATTTCTAAACATTATCTAGAGTTGGAAATCTTGTAACAAATGACATTATTGTAATGTCATAAAATTTCTCATAGAAAACAACTAGAATTATGAGCTTTTACAATGGTAAGTGGTTACATGTTAAGGTTACAAGAATTTGAAATGTAAAGTTAAGCCATTTCTTCGTTGACGGACCGCGTCCCCGATCTACATTTGTGAAATGAAGTGCTCTGTGTGTGAGCTTCCGTCAGTTCAAACGCCAGCATATCTTCCCGCCACCCTTCTTGATTTAAAGCCCATCCAACGTCATTTCTGTTGAGCATGATAATGAAGCACCGCACCTACGACTTCATTCATTACGACTTTGTAAGCTTCGCTTTGTACGATCACAAAACAGCTCCAGATGTTGTTGTCAAGTATACATGAAACAAGAACCAAGAGATTATAAACATATAAACCCTCAAACAGAATCTACATAATCAGTGAAGAACAAGGAAAGTCAGTTCTCAAACCTGTCAAAGAAAACAGAAATCCAAGAATTAAATCGAAGGTTAGAAAGAGATGAAGTGGGATAATTTCAGCCCTCAGTCTTAACTCATCATCGGGCGGAAATTCGAGCAGCCGGAAGGGCAACAACCGGGGTTGTCACCAACTCCTTACGAAGCATCGAAAGAATTGAATTTTGGACAAATAAGACAACTAATTTCGGGCAGCTCTCAACACAGTTCGAAAGCACCAACGGTATCAAGGCAACCGTAATCTCAAAGCCTCCCGGTTCAGACAAAAGTCATCATAACCAAATTTAGAACCTTTCTCGGCGGCATCAGACATGCAGCGTCTGCACCTAAGTGGTTTTCCTGAAAGAAGTGGAGAAATGTGCAAATGTTAGCAGAAGAAGGACTTCTCGTTAATTCATAAATCAAACATAAAACCGACACAGAATTCCCATCATGAAAAAGAGACAGTGAAAGCAGCAAGAGTATGATCCCCTTGTTCCTTCCAAAGACGTTTGTCATAAACCACAACCAGTGAGCCTTTCTTTTCCCTCCAGCTGCTGCTACTCTGAGCCAGAACCCGACTCGGTTAGCTCGAGCATGCCGTGTTACCATCCTGCAACTGACAAACAGAATGTATTAAATAAGTAAAACAGGGAGAGGATCAAAAATCAATTCTAAGTCGCATCAAGCCAGAGCAAAAATCAATACAGGAAGGAAGGATTTACAACATAAGCACATAGAATCATACTAATACAAATATATGTTTGTTTATGAGCAGTCACAAATGACAAAATAATGAGGAGAAAATTAGAATTTGACTAAAAGCAGTTCAGGCAGCATACCTAAGAGTTCATGATTAAAACCGAAGAAGAAACCAATCACGCTGGGGACTTGTCTAAAGAATCAAATGGTCACAAAAATTGTCATGATATTCGAAGTCTGCAACAACTTCAAGTTTACCCAATAATCGTGTCCCCTGTCACACAAAATAATCAATAATTTTCACCTTGTATTCCCAATTTAAAGTAAGAATCAGAACCACAAAACCGTCATTAGGAAAGAAGGAAATCCAGGGCATTTAATGGCAAAGTAATTCATGGTGAAACCAATATGGTTGGTAAGAAAACAGGCGTTCAAATTAAGGATGGGAATTAAATAATTTCTAAAACAAGGTAGAAACATGTATAAAACAATTTCAATAACTTTCCAAAGCAGGCATAGACATATTGGCTCAGAAAGGAAAGGAGATT